GTATCTCTTACAAATGTATATATGTATTAACTACAGTATGACACCGCTCAATATTAGCTATTTGCATGTAACTTAAACAATAATGAGCAGCCCACTAACCTGAAATGGGCGAAAGTTCATTTAGTGTGACCGAGCACGCTTTAGCGCAAAGAGCAGATGCCCTCACAAAATTGTCTGATTTTGATATTGAAATCCATTGTTATTGGCAACGATCATTTTATTTCATTCCGATTTTAGTATTAAATACTTATGATCTAACAATTTCTCTTTTTAGCTCCGCTGTCGACTTTGTCGAGCCGCGCTTATCATATGAGTGATTGTCCGTCGTCGTCCGTGTCAATGTTTTACTTTTTTGACTTCTTCTTGAAAACTACAAGTCTGACTGCTTTGATACTTGATGTATATGTACCTTAGGTAGACTTCTCCCAGACTTGTTCATTTTGTAATTATATCTTTAATTCTCTAATTTTGGTGAATATTTTTGTCATTTTTGGTAAAAAGTGATATTTTCAACTTTTTGTTAAAAACCGCAAGTCAAATTGCTTTGATATTACATATATAGGTACTACATGTGGACCTCTCTCAGATTTGTTCATTTTGTAATGATATCTTTAATTCTCTAATTCTGGTGAATATTTTTGTCATTTTTGGTAAAAAATGATATTTTCGACTTCGTGTTAAAAACCGCAAGTCCAATTGCTTTGATATTACATATATAGATAGTACATGTGGACCTTTCTCAGATTTGTTCATTTTGTAATGATATCTTTAATTCTCTAATTTTGGTGAATATTTTTGTAATTTTTGGTAAAAAGTGATATTTTCAACTTCTTGTTAAAAACCGCAAGTCAAATTGCTTTGATATTACATATATAGGTACTACATGTGGACCTCTCTCAGATTTGTTCATTTTGTAATGATATCTTTAATTTTGGTGAATATTTTTGTCATTTTTGGTAAAAAGTGATATTTTCAACTTCTTGTTAAAAACCACAAGTCCAATTGCTTTGATATTACATATATAGGTACTACATGTGAACCACTCACAAATTTGTTGATTTCATGATGATATCTTCAATTCTCTAATTTTGATGAATATTTTTATCATTTTTTGTAAAAAGTGATATTTTCGACTTCTTGATAAAAACCACAATCATTTATAGTGAAAAATGATATTTTTGAATTCTTGTTGAAAACAGGAGGTCCCATTTCATTGATACTATGCATATTGTTCATTTTCTAATGATATCTTCTGTTCTTTAATTGAAATGTGCAGTGCTAACAGCGGAGCTATCTCAACCGAGAGGCTGCTTGTTTTTAAATAGCTTCTCCTTTATTTGTTTTTTCAAAAACAACATTGTATTCATATCCATGGTACAGGGCCTCGATGTTCAATAATAGGATACATTATCGCGAATAATCTGCTGCAATGACGTCATTAAATCCACTGGTTTTGGATAATGCAATAATATAATTGTAAAAAATATAAATTATGTATGTAACATGCAGTATAAATATTGTGAATAATAAATTTGTTTTGGAGAAATCTATTTGAAAGATTAAATAAGGTATCATATTTGAATTCTATACGAGATAAGATCACCTGTTGACCAAATGATGAAATGAACTTTGACAAGTATATCAACCTTGGTGATACACACTCCGGCAAAATAGTTTTGCCCTGGAAAATGCTAGCACCCTTTTTGACCTGACCTGTCCTGTTAATGAGTATTACAATGAATGTTTTAAAACTTTTCAAAATACATGTATATATTTCATTGTCAGCAATAATGTCAAAGGAAACAAAATATCCAATCCTCACAGTGCATGATAATGATACTATTGTTGTTAAAACATTATAACATGATATAAAAAATCACAGGACAAATAATATAACAATAATAGAACTTGACTTGATTCACGTTGTGGATATACTACCTCAGGACTTGAGCCAGCCTTAGAAATTGAGCAATTGTGACTATGCAATCCTGCAATGAAGCATTCTGATTGGTCCAGAAGTTCCTGGTCAATTTTAATGGCTAGTTTTAAAGTATTTCTCTGCATAATATTTTCCACCAAATTTCGATGCAACATTTTGTCCTTACGAATGTATTATTTTCAATTTCTTTGTTGATTTTGAACAAAATTAACATAGTTGAACCTTTCTCTTACACTGGACTTGATCAAAATGTTGTTTTGTTTTTTTTGAATATGGAAATAGTTATGTAGGTTTAATTGGTAGTGTGACAATTTCTTTGGCTATTAGATATACAACAGAATTTATTGAAAATGAATTGTTGGATCTTGATAACACAAATCAAATATGCATCTTTGGGATTTGTTTAGTTTAGGAGTAGGTGACTTAGAAAGTAGGCCAAAATCTACCACTTTCTATTGGTTGAGACTCCTAAAAATACAAAGTATCCAGCTGAACTGCTATTTAGCCGGCAGCCACTGCTTGACAGAACATTGTTTTCTTTTGAGTCTGTTAATTCAATCTGTACTTGAATCACTATAGAATTCAGTTCTTCCTCCATTTTTGTATCATCCAATATTGTTATTTATTTTCTCTTCAGTTTTTGGTCAATTATTGATGACAAGTTACGAAGTGTTGCTTATAATAAAAATATTCATGTACGTCTGTTAGGGAGTATATGGAATCACACAGAACCCGAAATGTTGAACTTTTTAATATCATTATCAGCTCTTGATGGCATACAGGGACGCGTTGAAGTGGTAAGTCAATGGGTGATTGCATTATACATCTGGCACCAAAAACTATATAATTTAGCATAAAAAAAAATAATTGTTCAAAATTTCACTCATTCCAACTTTCAAAATTAGTGTTTTTTTCCGTACATGGACTTAACAGACAGAAGCAGAATCGTATTTTTGAACGCAATTTTCATTTCAAAAGAGTTACATTGATTATGATACATCATCAACTTTTAAAATGCAAAAATTGACATTGGAAA